ATAATTTTTTTATTGAGGTAACGAATCTACGAATATATAATTAAATAGATATAGAGCAATAATATATCTCGGTACATGCCGATTTACAATAATTTGTAGTATGAAAATATTACATTTCGTAGATCCATTGCCTTAAAATGGATGGGCTAAAATTGATTATGGGAAATATTTAATCTTGGTATCATTTGTATATCGTTGTATTTGCTGATTGTTATTGATTTATTGTGCGATTGTGCTTGAGGAAATACTCGTACACTTTGCACGCACCCAGCTCGCGAAGAACTCATTAAATTATGTTAACGAACTGCCGCGTTTTATATAAATTACTTTTGAATAAAGTTTTTAAGTACATAAATTAAATTTTTCAATTTTTATTACATAAATCAATTCTATTTAAAACTAGAGTAAATAATAAATATTTTAGAAACACAAGAGAAACAAAAAGTAAAATAATTCTCTAATAATTAAAGTAATAATTTTTTAAATAAAATTTTTTTAAATTTTTTTGAAAAATTATTTTTGTAACATTATATATATATATTTTTTTTCTTAAACAAAAGAGATAAGTAAAATATTGTGTTAGAGTTAGATGTTATAAGAAAAAGTATTTGTAGATAGGGAAAAATTATGAGTTAGGATGTGTTTTATTTATACCTACCCATTTATTCATTTCCATATATTTAACCAAGATTAAATATTTATAAATCGATGCAAGAAAGCAATATATAGATATATTTAGAATTTATTAGATAGAAAACGTGATAAAATTGTTATTTATTACTAAAATTTATTTTAACAAAGCATCGATTTTACCCTAATTTTTTGTAGCCTATCCATCTATTTTTAATTGAAAAATTGGCTTTATGCTAGATAAAGTCAAGTTATATGACGTGAGATTCTAAATATTCTGTCGAAATACTGAAAATTTAAATTATTTCAGAACTGATGATATAGTACAATTATTCAGTTTTGTAATAATAAATAACTACGTTATATCAAAAATAATTTAGATAGAAAGTGACAGAAAAATATAACGAGATACATTATCGATAATCGTAAAATAAAGATTTGCATATATATCATTTAATTATTTAATTATAACAATGCGGTTATTGATTAATTATAATATCAATCGTGCGGAAAGTTTCTTTTTTTCGGATCTCACGTCATTTATTCTGTATCTATATCTTATTTGATACATTTTCGAGATGCGTACCGCATGAACAACATGCATAATAACGCATCTTTGTGTTTTTGCGGTCGGTTTTCGTGGTCGGTTTTTCGAGAAATTTTTTATTATTAATTTTTTAATTTTGTCTACATTATAAATTCTAATTTTTCGCGGGATATAATTGAGATATTCATAGAACGCTTAATTGCGATTCTAAAGCTGATCGCTGTACCTCATTATTAGCTAGCTCGTTCTCGGCATTCGAGAGTTGTTTCTGCAGCTGACATAAAATACATGTCGATTTATAGTTGGGGAGAGGGAGAAGCTTCCATTAGCGGACTCTTACCTGCTTGAGTTTTTCATTGTTACTTTGAGAGGAAGTAGTGATCTCCATTACGTTGTGTCGTAACAAATTTATTTCACTCTTAAGCTCGCTTTCCGTAGCCGATGTTTTTCTAATGATAGTTTTAATTGTTCTATAGTAAATTTTAACGAAGCGCAACGTTCCTCTAAACTTGCTGTGGTACGGCTTTGTGTGTCAAAGCGGTCTTGCAGTTTCTAAAAAGAACAGCGTTCATGAAATTTATGTTTAAATTCCAAAAACCTTCTTTTCCTCAAAAATATATTGTCTTCGTGGATTGACATTATTAATATATTGATTCGAATATTAACACTTTTCTCAAAATATAGATTGTTGTTTTAGTAATCGCGTTTCCACCTTACTTGAATATGCGCTTCTTTTTCTTGCAGCATCATTTGCAATCTTTGGAGATCGCCGTCTAGAGACATTCTGTGCAATTCCATTTCTGTTGCGCGAGAGTCGCTGTGACGGACTTCTTTCTGTAGATTACGCTTCTCCGTTTCCAATTTGTTTAATTCTTGCTTCATTTTCTCTAGTTTATCCTAAACAAACGCAAAGTTATATGCACTGAGAGATTGTATATAGTGATTTTGAGAATATTTCTTCTAGACTGTATTTCGTACTGAGATTTTTCGTCTGGCTCGGTACTCATCTTTATCTCTAAGGTTGTAACCTTTTCACATAAATGCTCACATTCCTCTGTCTTTTGTTGAAGTGCGTCCAGCTGAAAACAAATAAAAATATTAACGCTTCCTTCCTTAGTGGAATGCAAGACATAGAAGAAAGATATATCTGTGCGTGATAGCCAGTTTGCGTTTGAGTTAATTTTGCTTCGATAGATTTTTTCTCTTCCTAAAGCGTCCGAATATTAGTCAGAAGATTATTGACTTTTACATCCGTATTGTTTTGGTTTTCTTGAGACTTTTTCAGTTGCTTCTTCAAGCTACACAGTTCTGTTTTGTAATCATCCTACAACGTTATCATAGATTTTATTATAACAGATCGGCTTATATAATTCACTTATGAATAATCGTCAAAGTACAACGTACCCTCTCGCGTTCGATTTGAGCAACTTGTTGCATAAGCGATCGTACTCTTTTCCTAACGGTTTCAACGTCCAGTATGATATCTCTGCTACTATCAGCATGGTCTTGCGCTGTAATTAAAATACATATTAACTGCATTTTATGCACCGTGAGATAATAAATAGTATCATTGTTGTAGATCAA